TAGCTTGACCATCGTTGTATATAATAACTGCGTCATTCACTGCTGTCTTAACAATATTATAATCACACCCGGAATTTTTAAGACATAATTTCCAAATCAAAGCATTCAACGATTCATTTGGATTCTTTGTATATCCTCCTAAACACTTTTTTTAGTAATAATGGCATGCTAATATCTTTAAATATATCTATGATAGCATCCATTACAGATGGTGGAATTGAATTTTTATGTTTGTACGATTTCAGATTTCTACTCGCACTCTCTCATTGACCACCATGAACCACGATCCCTCCTCCCCTGTTGGGCAAAAATTGTGAGTAGGTTCCACGTCTGTTGAACATTTGTGGTAAAATATTGCCCATACTGCTTTTTGCATATCTTTTACAGAATTGCAGTGTTTTCTAACAGAATTTCCATAATAAATTGTCAATTGATTTATAGTATCATCTGTAAGGAGACCTTTTCCACTAAGAGTTTTACAGTCACTAAGTTTCTTCCCCTTCATTTCTTATTTTCTCTTTCGTAATTTAGTGGCCATTCATTTTTGAATGTGTCCGACACATTCAGTTTTACGAAAATACATGATCTTAACAGTAAAAATTAAAGCAATCTACGAGTGAACATTCGTAAACAGCTGGGCGTACAATTGTAAACAAACGTCAGATGATGATTTAAATGCCCTATCTGGCAATATTTACCTCAGAATCGTTTCCTTTATTTCTCAATTTTTAAGGCTCTAATTCGAATATCGTAACGTCGTTTGTTTTAACAGACTCAGAAATGTTAGCAGTTTCTAAATATGCAAAAAAATAAAATTCTATTTTTTTGAATGTGTAAAGGTGATGACTCCCCTTTAAATGGAGATATAAAAAAACGAGATATTTCTTAACTTAAGAAAAACTGACTTTTTTGGCTTTAGATAAATTAAAAGGAGCATATAACTTAACAATTTAACATTCAAATGATATAAATGGTACGAAAACTGCATCAGAAATATCTAATTGAAAACCCTCTCTATTCTAATAATTCTGGACACTAAAACGAGTAAAAATTTAGATCTTACAGAGAAAACTTACATATTTAATGTTCTTAATGCATTCGAATATGGTAGTCGCATTAAGAAGGCTTTCAACATTGTCAGTAGTTAGTACCTAAAAAAGCTACAATAAATAAAAAAAAATATGAAGACCTTCGTTTGTGTGAATTTTCAAGCATAATTATTTTCTGTTTGAAGGCCATGAATCAACTAATCATGTAGATTTTGGAAAACATTATTGTTGATTTTTATTCTTAAATTTAAAAAAAGGGGAGAAAGTGTCGAAGTTTATTATAATATTTTATACTGATTATATTATTACTTGTACCATTTCAATCCCGTTCACTAAAAAACTATTTTTAACAAAAGGCATTATTTATTATAACATTATTTTAAAAACATGAATGATTTATATGAATGTATAAAACCGAATTAAAATTTCTATAAAAGCTACTATTTGCCCACCAGCCACCAAGCGGTAAAGTCGTGAACACTGGTAGTTCTGACCTGGGTTCGATTCCAGATGAATGGGTTGGCTATAGGAGACAGTTTCCTTTAGAACGTTTTCCAGGACTGCATCCCTTCCCTTAGGCAAACAAACCTTGAGTACTTTGTCATAAATCAATAAAACCAAACAAAACAACCGCTATTATTTAAAACAGTTATCATTTTGCAATATAAAATATATTCGTACACAATGAATCCCCTCTACGATGATTAACTACGGTTCCAGATAATTGCGGTAAATTCAAGCTGTGATTACATTGGAAAGGTGATGTTCAATACCGATGTTTACTTACGTTCCCAGAAGTGCTACCTACTTTGGGCTCATCTGAGGAAAGTATGCAATATAATCTTACTTGTTATAGGGGTGCCCATTTAACTCTTTGTTTCAGTTGAGGAAATATCTATGAACAGCTCTGACAAAAGGCATTTACAAAAAAGATATATGTTTAAGAGGTCAATCATATTCTTCTGACTATTCTTCCTGCTCCGAATCAAATCCAAATGACTCGTATTGCCACAGATATACTTTTTTCCAATCATTGACCGAAAATTCTGAAAAGTTTCAAACTAATTAAGGAAACTGCTAAAGTTATTTTCTAAAATGCTATTACCTGTTCTGCGAAAATTTACATTTCCATGTAGAAATACCTTGCATCTTATCGAAGCTTTACATCAATTTTTGGTCATTATATTCTATAAAATGTATAATACGACATTTAAGGTTTATTTTACAGCCGCTGACATTTGTATGTTTGAAATTTATTTGTTAGATCTTATATTAAATACTGAAATGCAGTCTCCAAATTTTTTTCTAACTTATTACATTTCTCGATATTAAGCCTAGATTACTACAAAATAGATATCATAATATTCCTTATAATAAAATAATTTTTTCAAGTCATGCTGATCAGTAACTCACATAATAAAGTTCTTTTATAAATTTAACTATTCAACATATAAAAGATTACCAAAGTATTCAAAACATACTCCTCCCTTCCCCCATAAAAAGAAAACCTTGCAGTAAAGTGTTTAACAATCACTGATGAATTAAAACGATGGGAACTGCATTCGAAATGCACTGAAGTCTGGACTAAAAGGAAGGAATCGGATATTTATCCTACGAAAAATTAAACAAAATGCAAACAAAAATACTGTAAAACTTGACTTTTACTTAGAATAGTTTGCAATAAAAGTTAACTGCGAAACTTAAAATGTCATTAGAGCATATGTCTACAATGGGCGATCAGTAAATAGGGAATTCTTTATCAACAAGCAAAATTTATCATATTGAAACAACAAACGTTTGCAAAAATTTATCATATTGAAACAACTGAAACGATATTTGCAAACGAGTTGAAATTTTTATATAACTGTCCTGAAGTTACCCCAATTTTTCACATTTTTATGACTTAAATCCTGTCGAACATGTATGGAGTAAGTTGGAGAAAATAGTAAGGAAACATGATATTTCTTCTACTAAAAGCAATTATTACGGTGGAATGGAACAAAATAGAATATTCTTACCTCAGATCCGTCAGTTGATTCCACTCGAAAGCGCACGAAAACTGTAATTTTGATTAAAGGACAGTGAACAAAATATTAAATGACCCATTATTTTTCTGTTTTTATTAAATCCAAATTATTTATTAAAAGTATCCAAATATTTATGCGAGTTTCGGAAGATTTTGAGTAATTTTTTGTTTTTCAACCGAACACATTTTGAGCAACCTTTTTCAGAAATTTTAATCACGTTTTAAAAAAGATAATCAGTAGTGTCCATGAAAGAAAAATGCCTTTATTTTTCTAATATTTAATAACTAATATATGTAAATAAATTTAAGAATCACTAAAGCTGAGCTACTGTGTACACTGGTGTGCAAAAATTAAGGACAAGACGGTTTTTTCAATATAACTTTGTACAAAAGCTTTCCAAATCAACACATTTAATACCGTAAGATCCCCAATACGTAAGGACACGAGTAATGTAAGCAACACTTACTAAAAGAGAAATCAGAGGGATAAAAAGAAGCTTTATTGAAAAAGTAGCATGGAACGCAATGCGACTGAAGGCCGAAACATCCCTGTGATGGGTATCCAGCCAGAAACATCCGGTCTTTAATAGGGGATATGATCTCCCCCTGACTGCTAGGCAGGTTTCACAGCGTCTGCCCATGCTGAGAATGAGGGTGTGAATGAGTTGTTGAGGCATTGCTGCCCATTCCTCTTGCAGCGCCAATCGAAGCTCCGGAATCGTTACTGGTGGTAAGGTACGAGCTGCCAAGCGTCTGCCTAGAAAATCCCATACATGCTCGATGGGATTGAGATCCGGAGATCGTGCCGGCCAATCCATACGTTCAATATCCTCACTCTCTAAGAGCTGTTCGGCAGCGATGACATGGTGCATTGTCGTCCATGAAAAGGAACTGCGGACCCATAGCGCTTCTAAAAAGACGCATATATGGAAGAAGAATCTCGTTACAATAACGGGTCCCGTTGACTGAACCTGCGTCGAAGATGTGAAGGTCTGTACGACTACCAAGCATGATGCCTCCCCAAACGAGAACACCACCACCTCCATACCTGTCCCTTTCAATGATGTTCGAGGGATGATTGCGGCTTCCCCGCCCTCTCCAGATGAGTATGCGATGAGAATCGCTACTCAGACTGAATCTGCTCTCATCTGTAAAGAGTACTCGTCCCCATTCATTGTCTCTCCAATTCCGGTGTTCCCGGCACCACAGAGAACGCCTTCTCCGATGGGCAGGCGTTAGAGGTACACACCGTACAGGGCGTCGTGCAAACAGACCACCACCGTGCAGTCTTCTAGCCACGGTAAAACGCGATATCGGTCATCCAGTCGCCTGTGTCGTGTGTCTAGCGATTTCTCCCGCTGTCTGCCGCCTGTTTCTTCTGGCCTGTAAGGCAATATACCGGTCATCTGAGGGTGTGGTTCCTCGTGGACGACCACTACTAAACCACTGGATAGCTGTTCCTGTAGTTTGAAATTGTCTCCAAAGTCGTGAAACGATGCTATGAGCAATTCCGAACTCTGCAGCCACACGTGTCACACTGCGGCCTTCCTCCAACTTCCCAATGATTCGACCTCGGGTAAAAGCATCCAGATGTCGTCTAACAGATTGATTATTCGCCATTTCTCGCTGAGGCAGCAACTCGGTGTGATTTTAACTGCTATACGGCGCAATCTCTTTGCCAGAAATACTGATCATACACCGACAACATGCTTTACACTACTCAGACACTCCCCCATTACGTCTACCTGCATATCTGCGCATGTGCTACCGTACATCACCTTACTTAATCTCCTGATTGGTCTTTCTGTCCGCTCTGCCTCTTCGTTCAGCTGATATGCTAATTTTTCGACTTCGTCCTTAATTTTTGCACACCAGTGTGTTATAGACTATAAACGTTATAGTACGGCATTTAAGATTTTGTTTTTAAACATACTAGTAAATTCCATAATCAATGATCAAAATTTAATGCGACTGAAAAGAAAGCTAAATTTAGTCTATTTTTATTTACGATTATTGGAAGTATATAATACGCTGGTTTGTAAATAAATAAACATTCTGGAAGGTTTTGCTAACAAATGTTTAAAAATCCCATACTACGGTTTATTTACTAATCGCATAATATCGAAGCGTTAAAAGGATAAAGCTGAGAAGTTTGAATTGCGCAGGTGTGTGAGTGTGAAGTTACGAAGTACACGAATTCTTTCTTTCCAGTCCTTTCATGCCGTAGTAGGTGGTCATAAAACTTTTCTCGTTCACTGCAGCAGGTGGCCTTTTAATTCACTCAGTGGTAGCCATGTATAATGGGTTTTTCAAGATGCTATATCTCTCACTTTCTTCATTAATAAAAATTAGGCGATATAAAATAATTTTTATTTTCTATGTAATTGTTTTGTTTGTAAGCAAGGACTTTCTACTTGAAGTTTTACGCATTCGACATGTAAATCTACTAGAAAATCTTCCACAGATTACACCATTACCGCAAAGGGAATTGCTGCAGTTACATGTGGTGAGTAGTTGCTTATATTTGTAATTATTAAAACAAATATCGCTTAGTAATAAACAATTTCTTTGTATTTAATTAGAAATTTACCGAAATGAAGAGTTATGCATTTGAAAGAAAATATACTGTTCTGGTAGAGATAAAAATTTGTTTTAGATATATTGTATCGATTTAAGCAAATATAACATCTTTGCTTAGCCCAGAAGGGCTATTAGGGTTCGAAACGGCATTTTGCATCGGTTTACTGCAAATATCCGTTTTTCTTTTTAAATTGTTCACACCAAATATTATCGCCTTGTATTGTATTTAAAGAAATTAAATAATGAAGAATCTGCGTGAAGTTACCTTGTTTCTCGCAATGTGAAAAAACAATCGTACCTACAGCCATCAAATTTTGAATAACTTAGTATTCCACCCGAGTATGGGCACCTGGAAGGCCGAATTTGGAATTTGTTTTATTGTCTGTTTCACATTTTGTAAAAGTTTAACGAACTTTTGATTAGAAAGCTCAACGATTTCAAAGCGAGTAGTGGAAACAGTGTACGGAATAAAATATTTTTACCTCCAGTAAACGAGATTGTTTATCGTAAAATCTAAAGATACGTGTTTTTAAATATTTTAAAAATCGTTAGCTCAAATGCTCTCGAAATATGTAAATGTGTGCACAAATGAAAAAAGAACACCCTTTTGGGTTTAATATAAAATCTGAACGGTTTCAAATTTTTTTATATATTTATTCAGGTTTATTTTATGAAAATTTTAATAAAATAGTATCGCACTTTCTTTAGGGTTGTTATTACGCAACGATCAAAACAGTTGTCATTACGACATGCAGCAAATATGAATAACACATGCTATAATATTAATCTTTAACAATTGCTGTTTTTTAGAAAGTTAATTAAAATGCTACATTAATTCCGTCTTATAGAGCTTCCATCACATCAGAATTTTCAAAAATACTCAGACATAATATTTTTCAATTTGTAAGTATTTCTTTGCATAGTTTATTTATATTAATGGATTATCGCAACGGAGGCAAAGATGATTATGTCTTTCGTCGAAGGTTTTTTTTAACTATTTTTAACACGGAAGAGAATTTATTCCTATAAAACTAACTCGATAAGTAACTTTAAAATATTTACTTTAGAATCATAACATAAAACGGTTAAAAGAACAAAGATTCCAGAGGGTAAGAATATATATCCATATGTCATAGCGTAGCCAATGTCACTGAGAGTTTCGTTTTGCTTACCGCCAACTGCGCAGAATCTAAGATTAAAACTTAGGATACGAAGAGCAAAGTCCTTCCCACCCTTTCAACTTCAAAATGAGTGAAGAAAGTTATATGGTTTTTCTGGTTTGTTGCACTTATTATTTCTAAAGCATTTAAATGACGTTTATATTACCATATGGAAAAATTCATGAAAGCGCGTGTGAAGCCAACCTGATTGCTTAGTTTCTTTCCAGTTGGCTTGCTTAGTTTTTCGCTTAGTAACTATTATTACTCTCATAGCTAATTTACGGCTATAGAATACACATTCATACTAGTTCACAATATTTTAGAAACCATGAACATGCACACACTTGAAATTAAAAATATAGAACAAGTGGAAAGCTTAAAAATTACCGAAGTTTTAAAAGCAGCATATGTTTAGAATTCCCGATGCAGCATTAAGTGTTCCCATACATTTTCCTGTTTTTGTTTTCAGTCTTTTCTCAGTTCATCATGTCAAAGTTCATTTTTTAAATTTTTTTTACTAAGATGAATTTACAAAACTTCCTTTTGTCTTTTTATTATTAACGTTTTGTGTGTTTACTTTATTTATTATATATCACGTTCTTGGTGTTTACGCTACATAAGATTTGATTCAACAGCAAAATGGCACAATATTTAAAAACAGCATATCTTTAGAATATACTCTAAACTGTTTCGTGTACTGGAGATAAAAATGTTTCTTTCCGTACATTTGTAGCCACTGCTGGCTTTGAATTCTTCGAGTTTGTTAGTCAAAAATTCGTTAAACTTTTACAAAATATGAAATATAATATTGCAAAATTCAAAATTCTGGCTTTTAGGAGCACATGTTCGGTTGGAGGACTACGTTATTCAAAACTGGATGGCTCTAGATACCGTTGTTTTTCCAAAATGCGAGAAACAAGCACGCATTCTTTCAGATTCTTCATTATTTAATTTCCTTAATTAAAGCATAGGGCAAAATTATTTGGCGGAAACAATTTGAAAAGTGATACTTGGTTTATAGTGATTCAAAGCAAAAATACAGTTTCGAGCCTAATATCCCATTCGGAACTAACGTCGCTTTTGAGATATAAAAAAAAATGTATTTAGGCTTAAATAAAAGTTATCATCTGGTAATCGATATCATAGAACAAGTGCAAAGAGTTTCCAGTGCCAGTCGCTAGTAGTTCCACGTGTTTTATTGATTGCTTTGCTTAACCGTTGCATATACCCTTTTTAAAGGGTTTATGGTTTTTAAGGTTGCATTGCTGCAACCTTAAAAAGGGTATATGCAAGAATCACTTCGATCAAAACCAAACATTGAAATAGAATGTATTGGAACTCCTAGATTGCATACTTCGAATGAAGATTCATTGGAAGAAAAACGAAATCTGCGTTTACTTCGGGTCCTCATTGATGAATCACGAGTCTCATGTAATGATCAAAATTATCTGGACCCATGCATATGCATACACAAGCTCAAATATTTTTTTAACATAAGAAATGATGATAATAGACCAAAAAATTGAACAGGATGAAGTGCTATTCAATTCAATTTTCTTTTAAATAAATGTAAAATAAAAAAGTGTTCATTTTTATACGATTTTTTTTCCTTCTCAGCAATAGTAAATTAATCAAGTATGCCGTAATATTATGCTCAGCAATATATTTTATTTTATTTCTAATACTTATTGATTTATTTTAAAATGAAAGAAAATATTATTAGAATTAATTACAGGGATCAGACAAAATAGAATAATTCGATGGGAAAATAGATTCCTTCAAAACAACCACTTTTCAAAATGATCTGTATTTATAACAATATAAATTAACATTAGCTGTATAAAACGGTTACCTCCCCAGAAAATCAAAACTATCTGGAATCACGAGTCTTAGAAAGAATTTGCCGTGCGTTTACAAAATACACTTTTCAAATCTTAGATTAATTTTATCATGAACTTATCTAGAACATCCCATATTGTCTAAGAAAAGCAGCGTTAAAATTGTAGAAGTTAAAACATGAATATCTGTTCATAACTGAAATAACTACCTTATTGTATCTATGAAGTTTCAAGCCAATTCTGTACCCTTATTATTATATATATAAAGTAAAAAAGCAAATAAGTCGTAGTTTTCAGTTTTTTTTTTTTTTTTTTTTTTGGTATAAATTCCATAATAATTTACAATTTCTATTAAGAATTGTTTTCCATAGTTTTATCTCAATCTCCTAAAGAATTAACTTTTAATAAGATTCATTTTGTTTCCTATGAGATAATCGGAAATAAAAAACATTATAATTACATATAAAAATATATAAAATAATATATGTAATTTCAAAAATTAATATTAAAAAATGAAAATCTGAAAGGTTTCAGATTTTAACGGTCGTCCAAAAGGGCTTGTTAAAGATTTTTGCGATCTCGCTGAGCTCGCAGTCAACCAGTCTACTGTTACATTCACTCCTACTAACCCCTCTTTGTGTGTCCTGTTAGCTTTATTATTAATAATGGAAACATCATTTTCTTCGTATTTACACCATGCGTAATTCAACAGTAAAATTACAAAATTTTAACAGCAGTATACGTTTAGAATTCCCGCTGTAGGGTTAAGTGTTGGCATACACTTTTCCTTTTTTTTTTTTTTTTTTTTTTTTTTTTTTTTTTTTTTTTGTCTTTTCTCAGTTTATCATATTAATGATAAGTTTTCACATTAAGAAGACTTTACAAATCTCTCTCTCTTTCTTTTTTTCCTTTTTATTATGGCCGTATTGTGTGTTTAACTTTATTTATTAAACCTCATGTTCTTGGCACTCAAGCTACAAAAAATTCAATTTAGCAGCAAAATCACAAAATATTTAGAAAACAGCATACCTTTAGAATTTCTGATACACGCGCGCTGGAGATAGACTAAGTTGGTTCATATTTTGATAAGAACCAGATTCCTTCTTCAAATGTTTTAAAATTGCCAGAGTTTTTCTTTTGTCTTCTGGCACCAATGTTGCAACTGAGTGAGTATTTAGCATTATGAACAGTTTTTGGGCTAGTGGTAAGAAGCAGCTTAAAGTGGACATTTTGAAGGCTCTGTTAATCACCAAAATAAATGTTGATAAAAATTGCACGGACTTTTATAAGAAGATCGAAAAAGTAAAAGATATTCTAAGAAATATTCGTGCATTAGAGAAATATAAGGCTACTTCATCAAAATAATTCAAAAGGATAACAAATTTACTATTTTGTTTAAAAAGGAATACGGTGTTTTGATTTATTCTTTCTATATTAAAAATATTATACATCACATAAAAAAAAACAAAAAAAATTTTTATTTTAATTATATATAGTATACAAAGGATATATAGATTAGTTCGAGAATTAAATCTTTTACATGTTTGCATATTTTTAAATTATTTTAAATTATTTTGGCTTTTTTCTTTTTTTAGAATTTAAATTTGCTTTTCTACTTTTTTACTTTTATACGTATTTGTTTAGAATTTAAATTTGTTTAAATTTAAATTTCATTCCTTGCAGCAATGGCGCAAAGAATATTTAATTAAATATGTAGTTAAATTGAATTTTTTTAAATTAAACTCAATTTATTCTTATGAAAAAATACATATAAAAATATTCAAAAAATTATACATATAGCGTCCCGAATTTCGAACTTCGAAATCTGGTTAACCTTCAAAAACTGAATAAATTATTTGTAGGCAATGAAAATCTTTCAGTTTACAGCAGCATTAATAACTAATTAATATAAAAAAGATCATGACGGT